CTCTAAAAGAAATTATAATATTTTTAAAACACTTAGAGCAAAAAGAATTGAGCATCTTTAGAATCATAAGTCTAAATCAATTTTGATAATTGAAAATTGATGGATTTTGTGAATACAAAGTCAGCAAATTGAATGATTGATTAATTCGAAGCGGAGTATTAATTAATCCATGATATGTGGATGAAGATAATAAATAAGGTTTTTTTAACTTATATCTTATCTTTTTAGGATAAAAGTTAAAAAAATAATTAATAGATTTTTTTATTATTAAATTATATAAAAAGAATAAAATTTGATTTTAATTTTAGTAACTAATTGATTAGACATGTGATATTAATATTAAAATAAATATTAAATCTTTTATTTTTTTCTATATATATTAATGATTAAAAAATATATGACCTATACGCATTTTAAGAGCACGTGCTAAAAAAATCTAATAAATACTACGTTTCCACCGTCGCCACAGATTGAATAACTGTAAAGTGGATGCCCACAACAAATTTAATTGTAAATAATTTTTTTTTTAATTTTAAAATAACTATTTTTAATTTTAAATTTGTTTTAAATTAATTGTTATTTTTTATTTTTTAAAAATAGATAATATTTATTTTTTATTTAATTTTATTACTATTTATTCATTTTAAATAATTATTTAATTATAGAAAACTTTTTTTGTTTTTTATTTTTTAAATGATATTATAAATAAATACAAATATTATTTTAAATTATTAATTAAAAAATTAAAATTAAAAATTATTTTAAAACAGAGTAAGAAAAAAAAAATTAACAAGTAATTATAGCAATATATACATGCCTAGGTGAAATATAAAACCTCTTCTCCTTAACATAACCCTTGTTGTTGCTCCCTCTACCTGAAGTCTGAACTCTGTCTTACTGCAGGTCCTTGCTCAGCACTCAACTTAGTCCTCGTTGACATACCTCACCAGTCTTCACTCTCGCTTCGCTGCTTTGTCACTCTTAGCTCGCCCTTCATTCATAATTGTGGTACATAGCTTCTCATCACCTTCTCTGTCTGTTTTATTTATTTATTTTTTATTGTCATATGTTAATTTTGTTTAGATCTGGACTTGTTTTTGACTTTATTTCTGTGGAATATTGGATTTTGTGGATACATGGCCAACAAATTGAAAGGAATGATTTGCAAAGTGGAGTATTAATTAATCCATGATATATGAAGATAGAATGCACGAGTCCACCTTAAAGTTAGGTAATAGGACCGGATCTGTTTTAAATAAAAAATAAAGCTAAATTTATTTTCAAAGATTTTTTAATTTGGATAAATCATTTCAAATTTAATATTTAATATAGATAATATCAGTAATCTATCAATAATGAATTTATCAATAGTACAATAAATCAATCAGTTGTTAACCTTATCTGATATCACATGTGAAATTTAAAATGATTTGTCTAAATGAAAAATTTTATAATAAATTGGTTCTTATTTTTTGTTTGAAAATGAATTCGTTTCTATTACTTAACTTTGAGGATGGATTTGAGTATTATAAGACATGAATAATGATGATCTTTTGCCATGTTAATATTTTTTAGATGTCGACTTGTCTTTGCATTTTATTGTTTAATCATTTTTTTATGAGCTGCGGCTTAATCATGTTAAGCTATCTACTGTTTGAGATGTTTCATGTCCTCAATACATCTAAAGTAATTATTATTCAAAAAAATATGAACTAATTATACTTTAGATTGTAAGTTTATTTCTTTAATTAGAGTTATTTTAAATCTATCAATTTCTTTTAAAATACCATAAATTTGATCGGGCCATACTGCTCTTCCATTGTTGGCCAAAAAAAAAAAAAAGAAAAATCCAGCTCTTCCATTAAGGGCGCTTAAAAATTTTAAATAGTTGAAGAAAAATATAGAAAGACCCAGAAAAATTAAAGGTTAAATGCTAAATTTGATCCTTCAACTTTATAGGTTTGCACTTTTTGATCCTTTGACTCTAAAAATTGCATAATTTTAGTCTCTCTGTCAGTTAAGCATGATATGGTAGTAGGGATGGTAATTTCTTTCGATCCCCACGGGGACGGGGCAGGGATGGGGAGCATTTTTTCCTCGTGAAATTTCGTGAGGAATTTTCTTTGCCTCGTGGGGCCTCGCAGGGATCCTCGTCCTTGCAAAAATATATATTAATTAAATTTTATTTATGTTGGTTTAATATTTGTTTATGTTTTAGTTTAATTTGGATTAATCTTTGCTTATATTTGGAACAAATTTGGTAATTGTTGGTTTAGTTGTTTATGTTAAATTGATTTTTATTTATATTTGAAAATTTATATTTGATTTTATATTTAAAAATTTTAGTTAATTGTATTCGAATTTTTAGAATTTTATTCATTATAATTGAATATTAATTAATTATATGTAAAAGACAAAAATTGTAATTTAATATTAATTGGTAGGGAATGGGGATCCCCGCGGGGAATGGGGACGGGAGGCAAAATTTGCTCATTGTCAAAAATCCTCACGGGGATCTCTGTCTTCGCCATTTGCGGGGACAGGGAAGGGGAGGGACTCCCCGGCCTTGCGAGGCATTGTTGACATCCCTATATGGTAGTTAAATAATTTCATATAGCATTTTCTTTTAATTTTTTTGATGACGTGGTAATAATATATATTATAATTATGTTATATAGATAAATAAAAATGTCACGTAAATAAATATTTATATTTTAATTAAAAAAATAAAATTACATTATTACCCTCACCTTTCAATTCCTCTTCTTCCCTCCCTTTCTCTCTTTCCTACCCAGATCGGTTAGGTTTCGATGAACCTAGCTCTGTTGGGTTCGACGAAACCCAGATCTGTTGGTTTCCATCAAAACCCAG